CATGGATTCTGGCACAGGTGCAAAGATGAAGCCTGGTGACGCAACCCGCAGACGCGCGGATAGTTCGGAAGCGGTCGATAACGAGGTATGGCTTTCCTGTACCCATGGCCAACTGCTCACGGCGACTATAGCCTCCACAGAAGTGTCGCCGTCAGGCCCGGGCCACGGGTCCGGATGCAGCACCGACTGCTCCTCCGGCGCCATCGGCGAACACAACTGCAGCAGCAAAGAGCGGGCCGCCGGGCGCAAGAAGCGAGATCCCATGGATTGGGACATGCTAGTCGGGGGGAAGAGAATGACAGCATATGAATATGCGGCTGCGTTTCCTACACAATTTGAGGAAAACGGCCCATTCCACCAGTATGCACAATACCTGAAGTAGATTCTCTGCGATAAATGATTATATTGGTCAAATATTGGTAGTATACAAAACTATAAACCACCCCGGGCCAAAGTTGCAGCGCAGGCGGCAGCGTGACAGGAGGCTGCGGCCATGCTGCGGCCATGTCGCGGCTGTGTCGCGGCCCTGCAGCGGCCCTGTCGCGGCCCTGTCGCGGCCCTGTCGCGGCTGTCGCGGCCATTTCGTCTAGCCCGCGCCAGCGGACATAAGTTGAGATCGCCAATATGGAAGATTGTTGAGATCTTGAACGCCGCGGCTGAAAAGGAACTGCAAGGATCCACTGATCGCCTGTGTGATCCCACTCGGGAACAGAGTGAACATGTCCTTGTCCCTCCACCCGCTTTGGAAATACGGGAATGAGGAAATCGCGGAGTATATCAGGCGGCGGCGCTCCACCAAAGCTGCACATTAGAAGAGCCTTCTGGGAGTATGCACTTAGCACTATACAAGGTCGAATTGGCTTTCCAGAGGAAACTTGAAGGTGGGCACCAGTGAGAATCGATGATTTGATAGTTCCCTCGAAAAGACCAAAGAGTGGGACCCGGATAGAGGTGTATTCCACTCCTCTGACAGCGCCGTTGCGGACCATTTCTGACCCTTTACCGTACAGATGATGGACATGAGTGGGTCCAGGGTTTTTGCAGCGTTCACAAGAATGTGAGGGAGGAGATGCCATGGCAGATTTTGCACTAGCAGACGAGGAGTGCCGCTTTTTATAAAGCCAGAAAACAAAAGATAGGTTTTCTTGTTTGTCCATCCACAGCACTACGATAAGTACTCACCTTCAAGTTGTCCTCAGGTTGATCGTTGCATAGTGTGCACCGTGACTTGATACCCGTAGAACTTGACTATAAGAGTTCACTACTCACTAGAATATTATTTGCTGAGTCCTTATAAGCCTTGACAGTATTAGAATAAGTAGCTGCAACAACCGAGCTGGGACGGGTGACACAACGTGTCACTGTGTCACAGATATTACGACAAACTAGGATGACCAGGACCCTTGATTATGCCCTATGAGGTCGGATTCTGAAATCGGCTTTGGCAAAAATCTGTCCGGATTTTTTGGACGCTAGATGAAAGAAAATTTGTCCGGATTCAGAACAAACCTGTACCAACTGGGCGAAATTTGTCCGGATTTGGTTCCAACCTCTGAAAAAGTACCGAAAGGAGAAGAAAAGGAGTAATATAACTTGAGAATAACAGCAAAGCCTTTATTTTTCGACCATATCCAATCCATTCCTGTGGATTCCATTCCCTATTTGGAGCACTGAAGTCTTCGTCATCGAAAGGCTCTTCCGAGTCGGTCCTTTGTTGGGTTGACAATGGACATGCTGGCTGGTAGCCGCTGGTTTGGTGTTGGTTTCGGAATAGTGAGCTCAAGACAAAATAATCGTACTATTCAGCAACATTGCCTGATCTACCCTAGTACATAATTATTTTACAACAACACTGCGCGTCATAGCTGCGAGTGCGAGCTTGGTGCGAGCCGCAGCCGAAATTTTTGTCCGGATTCATGATCCGACCTGTTTTGTGTCAAGACGTCTTGTCCGGATTTTGGTTTCGACCTTTTTCGCTTGGGCCAGTTTTTTGTCCGGATTCGGGTCAAACCTTGGTCAGAAATATCAAAAATTTGTCCGGATTCCGGGATCTGACCTCGTAGGGCATAATCAAGGGTCCTGGACGACCACACACGACTGTCACCGCCAATTGTTCTTGTTCTGATTCGCCCGTTGCTCTGTGGGTGTAGGCGTCCATGATCCAGATGGTTTGAGTGACATTTTGCCTACCGTCCTTCATTCCCTCTCTCATGAGCAAGTCGGGCACTTTAATTCCTGATCCAGGCTCTTTTGCTGTGCTTACCGTCGACCCTGTGGCCTCTGTAGACTATCTGGAGGATCCTGAAGCCACCGCCGCCAGCGCCCAACTTGTCTGCAAGGATTATGTGATATGTGCTGTCGCAGTATGCTGTTCAAGTTTTCCGAGTCTTTGGAACCCTTCCAACTTTCCATAGATTCAGACACTCTTCAATCCTCTGGCAGCTTTCCGCGAAGAACATGTGTTATTTGTTCAGCAAGGCTTACCGCAAGACTTTCCTACCCAACTCGTCGATGCCAGCATGTCGATTCCAATTGCCCCCCAGAACTGCACTGTTGACGACCATCCGTCCAAGCGGGAACCACTCCAGATGGCGACCAATCCGTTCCCATTCTCGGACTGCTACTTGTCTGCCTTTGCAGCCGCTCATGTACGGACCGCAAACGTCGCGGTCACGGAGCCCATTATCTGCGAGCTTGTTAAGGCGGAGCGAATGCGTGCCATGTACATAACGGAGGAGGATTATGAGCTGCACCTTGATCGTCTGCAGGCGCAAGGGAAGAAAGAAGAAGAAGCGGTTGATGAAGGGGAGAAGCATGAAACGGCCTCAGAACACGATACCGCCAGTGGGATGCATGGTGGTAATCAAGCACTATCCGAGGATGAACCAATGGACGAAGCGGAAGCGCTCGCCATATTCCGTGGCTTGCTGTCGGACGAACCCCCAGAGCACCTCCCCGCTGTCAGGTTCACCTACGACCTCTCTCGTGTTAAAGAAATCAACGATCCCCGTGGATTCTGGGAGGAACTGGATAAGATCGCCGAGTAAGTTCGCACCTTCAGGTTGCCACATATATCCCCCTAATTCCGAGAACAGAGTGGTCAAAGCCTCCCAGGCAAGAAGGGAAGCGGACAAGGTTGCTATTACTGAGAAGGATGCAGCGCGTTACGATAGTCGAATGGGTATGTCAACTTTCCTTCTCTCCTCATCTTGTGGAACTCATTCGTTCAAGCCGAGCTACTGGAAAGCCACCAAGCTTCGAAGATGGATGGTCTCCGCATACCACGAATCTTATCTCGCGGTGTTACTCGTGTTAGATCGCTGTTGCGTCGTATACTTTGCATGTCTCCCGCCTCCCACACTGCATGATCGTTATGAGCTTGATATACACACTATGATTGCTTTGCTGTTGTTTTCGAAATGTTTGCGCAAGTTGTGCATAACTATGGTTTTCGCTATACCAAATGCACGTGGTGTCACTGTCACCCACTTATGTAAAGTTACAGTCGTGAGCATTTTGTTGTTCTCTCAATGCTCCATTTGTTCTCCCGTTGCTCTGTGGGTGTCGATGGTCTAGGCAACTTGACACCCGCTCTTTGTTTCTTCCTCCACTCATGACTGAGTCGGGCACGTTCGCTCCTGAAATGGGCACTTTCGCTGTGCTTACCATCGACCCTGTCGCTTCGGTGGATTATCTCGCGGACCCAGAGGCTACCGCCGCTGCGTCCAAGCTCGTCGGCAAAGACTATGTGATATGCGCTCCTGCGGTAAGTTTCTCCTTCTGCTTTGTTTACATGTCAAATCCGCTCCAGCTTAAATCACTATTCAATCCTCGAGCCGCTTTTCGCGAAGAAACGGCCTACTTTGTTCAACAGGGCCCACCGCAAGACTTTCCTACTCAATTCATTGACGCCAGCATGTCGATTCCAATTGCTCCCCAGACCTGCAGCGTTGAAGATCATCCTTCCAAGCGTGAACCACTCAATATGGCGAATAATCCGTTTCCGTGGTCCGATTGCTACTTGTCTGCGTTTGCGACTGCTCCGGTGCGCACCGCAAATGTGCGAATCATGGACGTCATCGTGTGCGGGCTTGATAAACAAGAACAATTGCGTGTCCTCCGTATGACAAACGACGATGCAGAGCTTCGCCTTGACCGTCTCGAAGAACATGGAGAGAACGCAGGAGTGGCGACCGACAGTGACGCGGCTGAAAAAGCCTCAGAGCATGAGACCGAGAAGGATGGGGAGAGTGAAAGAGAAAATGAGGTCGAGGCAAATGAAATCATGGACGAAACGGAGGCTGTCGCAATACTTCGCGATTTACTGTCGAACGAGGCCCCAGAGCATCTTCCCGCCGTCAAGTTTACCTATGATCTCTCTCGCGTCAAAGAAATCAACGATCCTCGTAGATATTGGGAAGAAGTCCAAAAAATTTCGGAGCAAGTTCCTTTCATTGTCACGCGTATCTTCCTAATACCGAGAACAGAATCGGCAAAGCCTCAAAGGCGCGAAGAGAAGCGGACAAGGTTGCTATAGCTGAGAAGGATGCAGCGCGTTACGATAGTCGAATGGGTATGTCAACTTGGTTTGCTCCTGATCTTGTTGGACTCACTCGTTCAAGCCGAGCTATTAGAAGACCACCAAGCAGCCGGTCTCCGTATACCACGAGCCATAAGTCGCGGTGTTGCCTGTGCCAAGTCGCTATTGCTTCGGATACTTTGTATGTCTCCCGACTCGCATGCTACATAACCCTCGCGTCTTGGCATATATACCCACCAACATTGTTGTGCCGCTTTCTATGTTCTCTACAAGCTGTAATTTTTATATTATCTGTAGCCTACGCAAATTTTTGGTTGCTGTCACGTGTCACGTACTAGGCTTGTCGAGCACTTGTTGTTCTTTCGATGTTATTGTTCTCGTTGCTCTGTGGGCGTCCATGGTCTAGACGTCTTAGTGCCGTCTCACCATCCTTTCCAACTCCTTATTCCTTGCCTCCCTTATGGCTGACTCTGAGTCGGGCAATTTTATCCCGGTCGGAGGCACTTTCGCTGTGCTCACCATCGACCCTGTCGGATCGGTAGACTACTTGGAGGACCCAGAGGCCACTGCAGCTAGCATGAAACTTGTCAGCAAGGACTATGTGATTTGTGCTCCCGCGGTAAGTTCTTCGTTGTCCGTTTACCTTTTAAACCCCTTGCAGTTTAAACCTATGTTCAATCCTTCCGCTGCGTTTCGCAAAGAATTTGTGTTCTTTGTTCAGCAAGGCACACCACACGACTTCCCCGCCCAACTCATCGATGCCAGCATGTCGATTCCAATTGCACCCCAGACCTGCTCCGTTGACAACCATCCTTCCAAGCGCGAACCGGTGAAGATGGTCAGCAACCCATTCCCCTTCTCGGATTGTTATTTGTCGGCATTCGTAACTGCTGATGTGCGCACGGCCAATGTGGTGGTCTTCGATTCCATCATATGCGAACTCAACGACGAAGATAAATTGCGTGTCAAACGGCTGACGAACGAGGATTTTGAGCTTCGCCTTGATCGCCTCGAAGAACAGCAAAGAGAGACAGAAGGAGCGGTTACTGACGAAGGAGAGAAGCGTGAAATTTCGTCAGAGCATTATACCGAGCAAGATGCTGAAAGCGAAACGGAGAATAAGGTCCAGAATGATGGGCCTGCCGACCCCGTCGAAGCCGAGACTACCTCCATTCTCCACGGCTTATTATTGAGCCAACCTTCAGACGAGCTCCCCGCCGTTAAGTTCAGCTACGATCTTTCTCGCGTTGCAGAGATCAACCATCCACGCGATTTCTGGCACGAAGTGGAGAAGATAGCAGAGTAAGTTGTTACTTACTCCCCACATAATTTCCTCATCCAAATGCCTACCAGAATAGTCCAAGCATCCAAAGCGCGAAGAGAAGTGCAGAAGACTACCGCAGCTGAAAAAGATGCTGCGCGTTACGATGATTTGACTGGTAGGCTTTTCGATTTGCCTCGACCACAAACCTTACCTTCTCACAGCCGATTTACTACATGCCCATAAAGTGCAGCGGACTCTGTCAAATGGAATAAAACGACTTGTGCAGCGTCGTATTAGCGGTGTAAAGCGGCTAATTCCAGGCGTATACGGGGTTTTTTTTAAAAAGATCCCTTGTAATTAGAGTATTAACATTTTTAAAAAACATCAGTGATTTACAAGTTTCACCCTCATTTTAATAGAATCCACGCTGTCAAACTCCGTATCTTTCTTGGCACCTTGGCATCAACATTTTTTTTCATCTTTTTTGGCCTTTCCCCTACACAGTATTTTCCCCATACTTAAGGAATTTTCCACACATCAGGTCCTGGGCCTTATAGCTACCACACTGCCCACCCTGACATGGCTTTTCCACTTTTTAAACCTTTTTTTGATCTCTTATTTTCCTATATAAAACCCGCCTTTTGGCAGGGGCATAAATTAGAGGCATTTTTTAAAAACATTAACACTGGTAATAAGAAGACCTTTTTAAAAAAAACCCCGTGTACAGGTGCTAATTCGCCGTCTTTTTTGCATCTCTCCAGACATATAGCCTGGCGCTCCCCATTGGCATCTAGTGGCACATGGATACGATGCAGTTATCGATCTAAAAAATATCATTTGCCGTGTTTCTACGCCCTGGCTATCGGTCCACAAGTACTGTAGATCCTCATCACGTGCAAAAAATCTCTTGTTCTCGACCTTTTATTGTCCACTCGCCCACAGAACAGATGATTAGCAACGAGCCCTTATTCTCCACGTTCGCCACATCACAACGACTCCACCACTTGTCTCGCAATGAAAATACTATCATCGCAAACGGCCAGTGACATTGGTGTGTTCATTGACTCGGAAGTTGGTTGGCTGCCTTCATGGTCATTCCTTAGCCTGCAGTAATCCCGTTACAATCAAAAATACTTCTCCCCACTCTGCTGATGAACGGTATCCAAATGCCAGCGCTCCAGCAAAACCTGCATTTATTCCCATGGAAGCACTTTTGTTGTGCTCACTATCGGCCCTGTTGCTTCGGTGAACCACTTAGAGGATCCAGTGGCCACGGCAGCCAGTGCTAGCAAAGACTGTGTGGTATATACTCCCGCGGCAAGTTTCTCGCCATCTTTGTCTCCCTTCTAAACTTTGTATAGATTAAGTCGCTCTTCAATCCTGGGCCGCGTTTCGCGAGGAAGACCTGTTCTTTGTTCAGCAAGGAATACCAGTGACCACAAGATTTCTCCGCTCAGCTTATTGACGCCAGCATGTCGATTCCGAGACTCAAAGTGTTGACGACCATCCCTCCAAGCGCGAACCGGTGAAGATGGCGACTAATCCCTTTCCCTTTGCGGACTGCTATTTGTCTGTATTCGCGAGTGTTGATGTGCGCACAGCGAATATCACCGACGTAGACCCCATCATATGCAAACTCGAATATGAGGACCTATTCCGTGTCAGACGGATGACGAACGAGGGAGGACTACGAGCTCCGCCTGGATCGTCTCGAAGAACAAAAAAAGAACGGAGAAGCGGTGGCTGACGGAGGTGACGAGTGCGACAATGCGTCAGTGCTGACACATTATACTGAGAAAGATGGCGAAAGCGAACCGGAGACTGGACTCGGAGTCGAAGATGAAGCACCCCAAATTGACTCGGGCCCAGTCGAAGAGGGGGCTGCTGCCATGTTTCACGGTTTGCTGCTCCGTCCACCGTCAGAGCAACTCCCTGTTGCTAAGTTCACCTACGGCCTCTCTCGCACCTGTTACTTCCACCTATCTACTCTAATTAGAAGTGAGTGCCCGGCGTGGTCTCCATTCTAGTTAGAATAGATGATATGCAAATACCTATGCTGCAATACATCCCAGAATAAAACTGCTATAAAGTCTAGAATTTCAGCACTTAAGACTGTCAGACATGTCTGGCATGTATGCTGCAGTAAAACTGCTATAATTTCTTAATTGTCAAGCTTAGAAGCTTTACTATTACTATAGGGTGTATGCTACTTATGCTGCAATATCTTTTCCAGATAATACCCATCAAGATCATCAATTAGTTTGATCCCATCAAACAAAAGAAAGGGTCTCGAAGAACTTCAAGGTCAGCCAAAAAAGGTCAAAACTAAATCAGGCAGGTGTATTATGAAAACTATGGTGTACTGTAAGAGTGTCAACCAGAAGCAAGAAAGAGAGTGTGGTAGGGGTGAGGGATTAGAAGAGCTTGTCTGAATAAGATACGCTGTACTGGGTCTGATGGGATCAAAATGAGCGTGAAGTCCAAGAGTATTAGTCAAGTCAAAAAATGAGATCGTCGTTAATCAATTCCTCTGGCCAGGTGGACCCTGACCTTTCCTTCCCTTGACAAAAGCACGAGAAGCAACCAGAGTGGTGTTGCTTGCGTACTTCCCAAATGCTGGTTTAGGCTTAGGTCGAGGCTTGTTCCCCTCGGCCATGCGGCGCTGAAGCCGGGCGGTGAGCCTTCCCGCCATCGCTGGTATCTTCCTCGTTCTCCTTTCCCGACGCTGTCCGCTTCCTTTTCTTGCTCCGACGAAGCCCGTCCTCCTCTTCCACATCATCAGCTCCTCGCTTGCGCTTACGGCTCTGGCCAGCGCCATCCCCAGAGGCCGCCTCCGAGTCGGGCTGTTGGTTTCGCTTGGGAGCCTGCGTATTATCTTGCTTGGATCGCCGTCTCGGCTTTGACTTCGAGTTCTGGGCTTTGGCTGATTGTCGTGCGGCGGTCGCGCGGGCAAGAGCCGTAAGCATCTTCCGCTTCTGCTCGGTGGACTTGGACAAGGTTGGGGCAACGACATCACTGTCACCTCCGGATTGAGACCCCGATTCAGACTCAGAGTCGGTATCAACGTTGGTGTTGGTAGTCTTGCGCAGCTTCGACCTTGACCCCCGAGCGACGCCCTTGTCGCTCCGCTCTTTCCGCTTCTTGGGCTCGACACCTTTCTGCAGTTGTCGGAAGCGTTTGACCTCTGCATCGACCTCTTGCGCGTCCAGTCGCTTCCATTCGCACACCTTGTCCTTCAGGGCCTTGTAGATTACACGCGTGTCGCTGTTATTTTGAAGAGACATGCGCTTCCACGGGACCTCGGCCGGCCAGACGAGGGTTACACTATGCAGCGCCACAATTTTCTCGCCGAAATTTTCGAAATTCATGCGTACATGCTTGCCAACGATAAGGTCTGCGAAGATAACTCAGAGTCAAAGAAAGCGCGAGAAAAGAATATCTCACCAAGCGACGCCTGAATCATCGATGAAGCTTCAACTCTCATTTGAGGTACACTGGCCGCCCCGATTGTACCTGAATTGACTCTTTCAGCGCAGCACCAACAGATAGGAGCAGACACCAACCTGCAGCTCGCGCAACAACCCACAATTGGAACAGGGCTGTCAGCTGTGCCGGATCTTTCTTCAGCACATCTGGGAAGAACTGTAGCCCGCCGCCGGACTCGATGGCCACTGGAACCATGGAATCATTGAGATGGCCGCCCGAGAAGATTGCTGCGCCAACAATTCCGGTGCGAGTATGGAGAGTCTTCATCTGTCGAATGATCAGTAATCCGAGTCAGACAAGAAGCATTAGGCGGCACATACATCATCCGCAATATACTGGAGCGAATGGACCCCATCCATTTTCGCTGACTTGTTGTCAGCGCGCACTCCCCTGTCTTTTCGTCTCCCGCTGGGCTTGGATGTTTTCGACGGCATCTGCAACTTGCTCTGGGGTAATGTCGTCGAGCAGGCTGGGATCTGCAGCAATCATGGCGTGGACATGCTGAAGCTTGTATTTATCGCCTCTAGGACGGTCTATGTTACATGAGCATCATAACAGTGTGGCGAAGACGACGGCGACGACATACCAGCATTCAGCTCCCCCATGAGGTGCTTGATCTTCGCGTTATGAAGGCTGACCTTCCGCCGCTTCCTTATGGCTTTTCGGGACGCATTGGTAATTCTGCGTATAACCTCGCCCTCCGACATGCCAAAGTCCGCCGCCAGTTTCGGTACTTCCTCCAGCACAGGTTTGAGGATGTCCCGAATAGCATCTGCAATATCGCCACCGCGTTTTGCCTTCAAAGCGTGACGTGCTCGCTGGTTTTGCGGTAGTTGGCGCCTTTGCGGCGAAGCTTCTGGGTGCGGCGGGGAATAACAGGTCGGTCTGGGTTTCGACTCGCATGAGTGCTTGTCGCATTCATCAGAGGTCCGTCGTCCACCCAGTCCTTGCTTCCATCGTCGTCTATGGGCACCGTTCCATCCGAGTCGTCCATTGGCTTGTCGTTTGGCGTCAGAAAGGAAACGGAAGTTGAAGGAGTTGAGTGGGGGGAGAGGTTGGTGTGGATAGTGGTCCGACTGTGGTCGTACGATAATATTATGGAATTGTTATGGAATGTGAAGGGTCCTTCAAGTTTAGGGGCTTCTGCCGTTTGTGGGCTCTGCCGTTTGTGCTACTCCGGCGGGAATCTTGTGATTTAGTGCAAGGGTCGGTCGGTGAAACACGCTGTCTGGCTGTGCATGTGCAAAGAAACTTTAGATTAACGGACTGTCTACGATGTGCAGTTGATACCACGATGTGTGCGAATCCCGCTTGGAGGCTTTGCGCGGCGATGGAACTCGAGTTTGCCGGCAGAGAGTTCCTCGATGGCAGTATCACTAATGTACTCCGTTAATCGGCAGTCCGACTCACGGAGAGGTTCGACACTTACTGATCACGATAAATGGATCCTGTAGTTGTGTTGAATGCAAACAGGATGTTGTCGGGACTCTTCGTCGTGTGTGGCGGCAGCTGTCTCCTCTTCGTCAATGGGCTCTATGCGGCGAGTGTTCCGATCCTTGTGGCGAGCTTGTCGTTTGTGCTTCAAGCTTCCCTGGTAGAAATGGATTCTGAGGCGGCAACGTGGAGAGTTTCGGGGTCCGCAGAGGACAATGACATCCTGAGGATGCTGGGAGTCGATATCGAAGGAGTGACCGCAGTGGCAGACGACGGGTTAACGAATTTTCCCAGCTGAGAAGCTGGCAATAAAAAGCGGGCTCCGGGTGGGACATCGCTGGCGACGAAGACCTTTCTAGCAGCAGTTTTTGCTGAAGATTGTACTGAAGCAGTAGATCCAGACGCAGGCTTTTGGCTCGAGATGCTGACGGGAGGCATTTT